CCAAAGTAAGCTGTCTTGCCTGAAGATAAATCATGTTGTATTACACATTTGCAGATACAATTTTACATTACAAAAAGTATGATTTAGAGGCTGCATTTTCAGGCAAAAATAAAAATACATATAATCTTATTCTGTTTATTACAATTTATTGTAGCATTCAAAAATATGCAAAATTGAATTGAATTTATATTTTGTCTGCAGTGGGTTTAGAATTTTTTCCCATTTTGCAGAGTCAAAATTCAACAATTCCCATAATAAATGTTACTGGGCATTTTGTTTCTTAGATTAGCTACATTTTTTAACCTGGGCATATACAAGAACTAATTGATCTATATATATGAACACTTGCTAGTAAATGCAAGAACAATTTTTGGGGTTTTTTGTCTTTTGTAAGATAAGAAGTATATATAACAATTATTAACATTGTTTGCTGTTTGACCTGAATCATACAAGTGATGTTGCAAAAGTAGGAGGGGTAGTTGTTAAACCAGACTGTTGTGCAGCCATTGGGAACGAGCTTGAAAAGATGGAGAAATGGACTGACAGAAGTCTCATGCATTTCAGCAAGTAGAAATGCTGAGTTCTAGCCTTAGGGACAAATAACTCCAGTTATCAGTACAGGCTGAGACTGGTTGTAGACCAGTCCGGCAGAGAAGTTTATGGTAGTGCTGGTGGGCACCAAGCAGAATCAAAGCCAGCAATGTGCCCTCATGGCTAAAAATTACAACAGCCTACTGGGCTGCAACAGGAGGAGTGCTGCCAACAGGTCAAGGGAGATAATCCTTCCCTTCGCCCAGCTCCACTATACACATCAGTGAAATGGGTTCCTGAAAAAATTTTCATTTTTTCAGAAGAGTACTGAGCTCACTGAGATCCTCGTTTCAAGTCAGCAGTGGGTGTGTTGGAGTGAGTCCAGTGAAAGGCTACAAAGATAAATAAGCAACTGGAGAATATGACTTAAGAGGAGAGACTGAACGAGCTGGAACTGTTCAACCTGGAGAGGAGTGATCTTATTAATGTGTATAAATATTTGATCAGAGGGAGTAAAGAGGAGAGAAACAGAATCATTGAACATTTCAAGATGGAAGGGACTATAAGGATGATTGAGTCTAACTACCTACTTATTGCAATGACTACCTAAAATTAAACCATATGACTATGAGCATTATCCAGATGCTCCTTGAACTCTGACAGGCTTGGTACTATGACCACTTCTCTGGAGATCCTGTTCCAGTGGCCAACCACCCCCTCAGTGAAAAACTTTTTCCTTTTCCCCTGAAGTAGCTTTATTTCATTTCCTTGTATCCTATTGTTGGTGATCAGAGAGAGGAGATCAGCACCCTCTTCCTCTGCTGTCCCTCTTGAGAAAGTTGTAGACTGCGATTATGTTACACCTCAGCCTTCTTTTCTCCAAGCTAAACAAGGCAAGTGACCTCAGTCATTCCTCATAATTCTTGTCCTTGAGACCTTTAACCATCTCAGTCCTTCTCTTTTGGACGTATTCTAATATTTTGATATCCCTCTTGTATTGAGGTGCCCAAAACTGCACCCAGCACTCAAGGCAGGGCTGACCAGCACAGTGCAGAGCAAGGTGAAACAATCACCTTCCTCAACCAGATGGTGATGCTGTGCCTGATGCACCTCAAGACATGATTGGCCCTTTTGAATATCAAGGCATAGTGCTGACTCACGTTCAATGTGACATTGAACTGGACCTGCATTTCTCTTTCCATGGGGCTGCTCTTCAGACTCTTGTCCACCAATTTGTACCTATAACCAGAATTGCCCCATTCCAGGGGGAGAATCCAGCATTTGATTTTGTCAAATTTCATGCGCTTGGTGATTGCCCAGCTCCCTAGTTTATTCAGATATCTCCATAAGGTCTCTCTACCTTCAAGGCAGTCCACAGCTCCTCCCAGTTTAGTATTGTCAGAAAAATTACTTAACGTACATTTGATTAAACGTACATGATTCTTCTCAGTGATGGCCGGTGACAGGAAAAGAGGTAATGGGCACAAGCTGAAACATAGAAAAAATTTCCGATTAAGTGTAAGAAAATACTTTTTACTTTGAGGGTGATCAAACACTAGCAAAGGTTATCCAAAGATATTGTTGGATCTTCTCATTTGGTTATGTTCAAAATCCAGTGGGACATAGCTGTGAGCAACCTGCTGTAGGTGATGACCCTGGTTTGTGCTGGAGGTTTTATTAGATGATCTTCAGAGATCTCTTCCCACTTCAATCACTCTGGGTTTCCAGCTTGCAGTTAAAATGATGAATGGACTTTATTAATTTAAGGTATGTTTCTTTAGTTGGAGCACTCAAAACTTTATAAATTTTTAGAGGTCATTATAATTTTTGAATGGACCTCTGAATATCATACAGTCGAGCATCCCACTGTCTGTACTCTTTACCTTGATTTAAGGATTATGTATGTAAAAAATACTGCTATATGCAATAATAGTTCTCAGAGTAACTGAAACTACAGTCACCACTGACCATTCTACTCTGCACTAGATATTAAATAAACAACTAAAAAGCTCATAAGAAAAATTGCAAAAAAATAAAATTTGCTTTGTTAGTCAAAATAATCTTTAATAATGTCTCTCTCCATCTCTGATCTAACAATTATGTTTTTGGAATAAATTGAACTGAAAATAATTTTCTTATGTGGATATTTGCACAGTCGTTCCCATTTAGTGTGCAAATTATCTATATGATCTATGGTGAGGCTTGGGTTCAGTGCCTGAACCACCGGGTAATTCCTGCCTTGTCAGGTGTGGCAAGCAGGGTTTATAAGAAAAAAAAAATAGAAAACCAAAAAATACTGGGGAGTGGGAGAATGAGCAAGGCAGATTCAGCACTATAAGGTAGAAAATAGAAGAAAACAGAGAGTAGAAGATGAACAGCAAATGGAATGGATTTAAATAGGCCAGTGATAAAGGAGGATCAATATTTTCAATGTACTGCTAAAAGAAAGTTGGAGGAAGTCTATCAGTAAGCACATGATGAAGTGCTTTCCTTACAAGACAATGTCCTAGTTAATAAAAGTGCAGAATATCCCACTTGTGAGAAGGTTACTACCATATTTACCACAACTCAAGAAAATCTGTACATGGCAGAATGCTCTGTGATTAACAACTCTTTTTGTGAAGGTGTCTGGAGACAGACAGTTATGTATCTGCACTACTCTAAGCTGTAATAAGGGAGTAGCTGTATTCAAAGAACAAAGCTTGACATTTATCTTCTCTGAAAAATAAAAAGATTAAAAGCAAATAGGGTTTTGGTTTGTTTGTTTTTTGGGTTTTTTTGACAGCACTGAAACTCCTTCGTGATTAGCTAGAGAAATATATTAAATATCACTAAAAGGTCATAAGAACTTCTGTGGTCTGAAAACTAGGAGGAGTACAAATTGATAAAGAGATTTGGAGAAAAATATTTTAAAAGTAATGCACTAACGGATGACATTTCTTTTGGAAAGAAGGAACTGATAGAGATGAGGAAGCATAAATTGCCTTTCATTTTATTTTGAAAAAATCTTTGTATAGAAAAGGAAAAAAAAACTGTCATGAATCCTCAAGTACTTTTACTTGAGTAAATGTAAATAGTTGGTGTGAATAGAAAATCAGCCTTTCTTTTGTTACAAAAAGTGACATTTCTCAAATAGTAAATCAACACTTCATAAAACCTCCATCCCTCTTAGTCATTCAAAAATTACAGAACAGAAGTAAGTATTTTAACTGCCTAATGATAATTTCATGGGTTTTGCACTGCATAAACATTCTTTGTATAAATATAAGCTCAACAAGTTCATATTTTGATTGTAGATATAAAGATGTTTTGACATTTTATTCTCTACAATTTAGGTCAGGTTCATCTTATAAAAAAAGGGATTTTTTATTTTTTCAGAGATTCCCAGTCCTTTCTGCTTTATTGAAGAATGCTTCTTTCAGAGAGAGGGGAAATATCTTTTTTTGAACTTTGCAGGCAGAGATTTTAACTCTAAGCACTGGCAGTTGCTGAAGTTTAAAACCTTTGAATTAAATATGGTTAATACAGAGAATAAGTTAAAAGCTGTTTGATTCAGTTAGGGTAATAAATAGGGTTAATAGGGTTATTTTATTCAAATAAATGTATTAAGTCAGAATTTATAAAACTGTTAGACAAAAAATGTGTCAAAAGCCTATAACATAACTTTTTAAACATTTTTGCCAGTGGATTTCCCAAAAAAATGGGAAGCATGAAGAAACTTGTATAAGTCTGTAATGATTAAGATACCAAGATTTCTTCATGGCAAGTGTTTTTAAAGCTTTGAACTCAAGACCTTCTCAGACATTTTCCTTTCATTTTTCTTTAGAAAAAAGTCCAACAGTTCTCCATAAATATCAGTTCACATCTTCATTAAAACAAAAAGCAAAGAAGATCAGAAGAGCAAATTATTAAACTACTAGATTCTTTGCTTAAATTCCATAAATCTGTTCGGCTCCTTTTTGAACCTCAAAATACTTCCTCTTTCCATGAACTCCTGTGGCAGGAAGCTTCAGATATTCATGACCTGCTGTATAAAACCATACTTATATGTCTTTTGGAATTACTATCTATCAGTTTTACCAATTGTCCCCAAGTTCCAGAACTGTGAGAAATGGTGAGTAACAGTACCACTGTCATCTTATACAATACTTTCATGGGTCTGTAAATCTGTTATCATATATCTCTTCAGAGTTTTCCTTTGTAAACCAAAAAACCTAAGATGCTTATTCTTCCATGACTGATGAAGACTCCTCCAAAGTGTGTTAAACTGATCATGACTTGAAAATACTAATTCCCAATGGTCTTTAAATGGTCTCTAAATGGTCTCTCAACAGACTAAAACCCATTTTGCTAAATCATTTTTGCAGAAATGACTGACTCCTATTGCTTTTGCATAAAATTGATAAGACATGAATTAGTTCAAAGGACTCCTGCTACCTAGATAGGAAAATGTTATCTCTGTTTTTCAGATGGAGAAACTGAAAAGTTGAAGATGCTTCCTAAGGCCACAGGGTAAGGTAAGGACAGAGATAGTGCTTCAGCTCTCCAATGCCTGTCTTCTAGTCTAGAATTATAAATGTCAAACATCCTACATAGTCAATGCATAGTTAATAGATAGGATAACAGTAGAGATATTTTGCTTATGTGGAAAATATAAAATAAATACAAAATATTGTATCAATCAATTACTATGTCCTATATTTTCAGCAGATATTCGAAGTATCGGAGGAGAAGTGAAAGGGTGATTTTTATCGTCCTGGCAGACTATACTCAAACAGACTTTTTTTCACTGACTGCAGGCTTGCTTCCATTACAGAGTTCAGGTTTGAAGGAAATTTTTTTCCTGACTACTTCTCATTCATATTCAAAGATTTTCATTCTGTGGTTGTAGTTCTTAAGTATGAACTTATGTGTTATTAAGAAGTATCAGACTAACAACTCTGGAGAATAAAGTTTCATATTTATACCTAGACTAGGTACTGTACAGTTTTTTTCAAAAGGTCAATAGCTACAGGTGTAAAAATGACCCAGATCAAGAAGTGAAGTAGTGATCGAAGTACTGATTTTGTCCCAGACTTCCTACAGATTCTGCACAGCAAATATCCAGACTTTCTTCTCAGTTTAAAAGTATGATACTAAGGATTATTTCCCCTGTAATATTACATGTAAAAGCATTAGCTTTTCAGGAAAGACATGAAGTAATATTTAAAAAAAAAAAGTACAGAGGAAAGCACTTGGAAAAGTAAAAGAAATGAAGTCATTCTTGTTCTACTTCTGGCCACTGGAAAATGAACACCTTGTTGTGCCACTTTTTGTGAAACAGGGAGTCGCATTTTGGTATACACAAACAAAATAGGTGGTGGGAAAACATGGTTCTATTTGTCATTCATAGTTTCAGGCTATTAAAAGGTCATATTGAAAGAGAAAGAAACAATTCTATGCCAGGATGCTCACACTTTGGCAGAAATATTGCAAATATGGAAGTGCTGTATACAATTTAACAAGTACTGAAATAGAGGCTGGATGGTTCTTTCTCCTTTTTATTGGTCACCTTCAGGAGGGCTTGTCCTTTGAAGTATTTGAAAGAATTGACTCTACAGAAAAGTATGTTCATATTTTTCTTAAGGAGTCTAAAAAGCTATGACTTTAACAATCTTTTGTAACTGGTACAAAATGTACCAACATTGGTCTTTGTAGAGCATCATACAAGCTCTCCACATGGACACCACTTCACAAATGTAAGGTGACACATGTCCAGAGCCAAAGATTGCTATTTTCCTTTAAAAAAATTTCCTGAGGATAAAGTGGTCATTATGGTCAAAATCCAGTCACTAAACAGTTTTTCAGAGACGTATGTCAGAGAGAGGAGCAACTGTTCCTTTAGTAGTGAATCCAAAAAAAATCCGGTATAAAGAACTGTTCATAGACTTTTGGATCTTTGAGCAGCAAGGTATTTGTTTATTCAACGTTGGGAGCAAGCCAGCTCGTGTTGGACAAACTTACTCAACTTGAAAGTGCAAAAGCAAGCTATTTTATACACTTTAGATACATGGTTACATCATTTAACATATATATTAATAAACAGGCTAGTCTCTGGGCAGAGTCCATCCAGACATGCACAATCTTCTATTGTGGGGGTCTTCTCCTCAAGCCTTCATCCCTCTGGTGGTTGCCATGGACATCTTCCTCAATTTGACCTCTTCAATTAGGTGACCTGAATTCTTCAAGCTTGCAAAATCCTGGCTCTGGGCCTTCTAGGTCTTATTCAAACGTCTAGTTTACCTAATTTATTACTGTGTGTGTACTACTCCTATTCTTTCTATAATAAGGCCTTTGGTCCAGTGAGCAGAACAGAACATGATATTAACCAGTGCTCCTAAAATGTTCTAGCAAAACAGGTATTGGGGTTTCTTAGCAGGTCAAGATATCTTAGTTAACTCTTTTAGTCCTGGTTCCTGTTTCAGCAGCCCCACTGCAGCCTCATTGTGCCGGGGTCTGGGCAGGGCAGAACAGGCTCCCCAGATGTGCTCCTATGCCCTGTCTTACAAGGTGGTTGTGGAGGTACTCGGGGGCTGACATGCCAAACTGCTCCTCAGCATCCAGAGATGTCATGTAAGAGTTTGGAAGAAGAAAAAATCAAGACTAATAATGAAAGAGTAGATACAGTGCAAGTGTGCAGTAGATAATGATTCAAATTCTAAAAACTACACTACAGGAAATTGCCTCTGTTGCTGAATTATTACAACAACATATGATATCATTAAGAATTTTTCATTAAGGACTTCTCTGTGAGCATGCGTGCAACTTGATCTTACTTAGTCTGTGGTATTTAATGAGTTACTCAATTATTGTACCAGAGTCTGTTAAGAAAGAAAATAAAGTGCTGAAAGTCTAAATTGTGCTGACCTACACAGGAAACTCCAGGCACCTACAGTCAGAATGGATTTATGGCCATCAGTTACACTGGCAACAGCTTTCTCCTGGTTTTTACCAAGTGACATGTTCTTCCTCAATATAGCATATCATCTTTCACAGGCTTACTGTGAATCTCCTATTAATGTAATAAATACTTTTTCTTATTATTGACTAAAACTATTTATTTTGTCTTCTTATAAATCATGCCATACATATGGATTTACATCCTATATATAAGGATACTTTCTCCTCCTGATGAAAATTACTTTTGTGTTCCTGAAACCATATCTTCAACAGAGAGGAACAACAATTCAATCACCCTTCATAGGTGTCAATAAAAACAGAATTTATCATGAGAAGAATTTCTTTTGTTTAAAGCAGGTGCTGTATATCGAGCACATGGTGTTTTCCATAGGGTATTCCACATAGTTTTTGCAGGATATTATAAAGCAAACTGAGAGCAATTAATGTTGATGAAAAATAATGCTAATAGAAAATTATCTGCATGCAATCACTGAATATCTCTTTGTTAAACCTGATGTACTGTTGGCACAACATTTCTGTTCAGGTCACCAACACTGGAAGGCTTTTGCCCAGCGCTGACATTTACTTAATGCTATGTAGGTCAGTTCAAACTAATATCTGATCTTTAAGACATAAATTATGAAAGACATAATTCATATCAAGACAAATTAGAGTCTTTTCAGCATACAGTACATAACATGTTCTAATAACAGCATTTTCATCTATTCATTAGAGACATGAATCGCAGAATTAATTATTCTACTTAAATAGTGAAAAAGACCTTGAGACCAGAGAATACAGAAAGATTCAGAATTATATTTTGTATCAACAGCAAATACAATTCCATGTTTAATACTTATCTTTCCGGGGTTTAATACTTCAATTTAAAATTATTTTGGTATTACAGTAGGTGGATAATTAGTCTGCTCTATCATTTGATGCCGTAAGGTCCACCTGTTTTTTTCTTATTTTCCCAATTTTATAAGCTTTATAAGAAGTAGAAGTAGATTTTAGAAGCAGCAGCCCTTATTCCTCACCCTTTGGTACCCTCTTGTTTACACATTCCTCAACCTTCTTACCCCATTCCATGCTCCCCATATCAATTCTACCCCTGAATTCAGTAGAAAATGTTTAGTCTTCTGTCAAGGCAAGGCCTAGGCTATTTAGAGAACACTCATATCTTGGCTGGAACAACAGAACACAGTCAAGAACTGGGTTACCGTGTACCCTCTGTACACTGAAGATGATGAAGATGATGAAGAAGCGGTCCCAAAAGCCACCAGACTCAATTCCTGGGGAGTGGGCCAGGGGGTGGACCAGGGCAAAAGTTACAGGATGGACAAAACTTGGATTGGTCAAGCAGTATTATAAAATGTAACATCTCAGGTACAGCCTGCGCGTGCATCCTGTAACATCTATGCCTTGGCACAAATTAAACCCTTTCCTTATCTCACCCTCTATTAACTGCTTGGGAGTTTTTTCTTAGCAACATTTTAGGCATCAATTGAATTTGATTTTTAAGAAAATCAGTCAAGAAACAATCAAAATTAAAAAACTAATAGTGAAGGAAAACTACATAATAATATTAATGGGAGTAGTGATATTAGATCATATTAGATGTGATTGTGCCAACATGATAAAGAATCTTTTTTTTATATGTTTTCTCATTTAACTGGTGTGAAAAACTGTTGAATTATTCTATTAATACTATTACAACTTTACTAATTCTAAAATTCTGTATTATGTAAGTAAATGGTCAGGTGTTCCTGTCTCCTAAAACATCAGTTAATAGGTGACATGCTTATATCTTGTGCAAATAGAGATATGTTGGGTTAGTTTTTGTATCCTTTGTCACTGCAATGAATTTGAAGAAGGACAACAGTTTACTCAACATCTCATAACCTCCAAGAATGACTAATTTTAATAATTTTGGTCAAAGTTAGTAGTCTTTGATTGGATTTCCTCTTTCATTTAAAAGTAGTCTTACTGCTTTCTCGGTTTAATTTTACATACATTTCTTAAAACCTTCCTGTGTTTGCTTTCTTTGTTGCTATTTACCTTCAAGGTGACACTGAATTTTTTTAAAGAGAAAATCTATTACAGACCTTCATAAAGGTTTTCTGCTGAATTAGTGCCGAAAAAACACAGAATCTCACTGGGGATCCATCAAACACCTTCAAATAGCCTGAAACATCACAAACATTAGGATGGTTTACTTTTGGTAATGCAGCTGAATTGCTTGGGGTCTATTCCCTATTTAAAACAGATAAAATTAATCTAACAGACATGGGCTAATATTTTCTGTGACTATGCTGTAAGCTGTGCTGTACAGATAAGCTCCAGAAAAGACTAAAAAAATAAATTTAGCCCAAATAGTTTTTGCTGTACATACTGCACTGTCACCCTCAGAATGTCAACGCAATTGCTATTACCTTATCAGTAATTAACTTATGCACTGTCCATCTTTATTGTCTGCTCTCATCTTTCATTTACTTGGAATTCAACTAGTCTCATTTTAGTGGTAAAGAAATCATTCATTGGCAAGTTCAGCTAAGTAAATTTTCCTTTCCTAAAACAA